ATCTCCGTTTGTAGCCGTTCCTGCCTCTTCATTTTCCACCACTAATCCTGGAGAAGAAGCTGCATCCCCTCACCCTCACTTGATAAGGTCCACCACAGGAGGTTGGCAAAAACAAGAAGAGCTTAATAAATGGGAGCAGAATATAGAGACTGTGCAGCCAGAGAATTTTAAAGGTGAACACCAAATCTTCAGAGAACTTGTTCATTGACAAAGCAAACCCAAAAGTATATATATATATATATAAGTGAAAGAATCAAAGAGGACGCATCGATTCTCTGTTACTCAGAGTTTCGCGCCGAGTAACAGAGAATCATGAGTAACAGAGAATCGATGCGTCCTTTTTTATTCTTTCACTTCTATATACTCACTACCACAGCATTGAGCACTTTATGCCAAGGTAGACTCTACCCCCATATATATATATATATATAGAGATAGAGAGAGAGAGAGAGAGAGAGAGAGAGAGAGAGAGAGAGAGAGAGAGAGTGTGAGTTAAAAAAATGCGAGGATGGACAACTTCTGACGGAAAGAAGTTAAAAAAATTTTAAAAAAGTTAAAAAAAAAAAAATGTTTCGGTCAGAGACCTTCTTCAGCATACATATACATACATATATATATATATATATATATACACACACACATATATATATATATACACACACACACACATATATATATATATATATATATATATATATATATATATATATATATATATATATATATATATATACACATATATATATATATATATATATATATATATATATATATATATATAGGTATCGGTCGACAGCAATAATCAGTACACGAAAGATATCACACTCGTTATCTTCCCTGTCTTTCTTACGAACTGTTGCGTAAAATTCCTCGAGAAGTTTGTTTAGCGCCTCCGATTCATATTTTTCAATGCCCAAAACTTCTAAACTTTTTGCCAGTTGTTTTTGCTTTGTTTTGTATTTTTGTTTTTGGCATTCTCAATCAAAATTTTAATTAAAAAAGTTGTTATCTTCTCTTAACCTCGCCATTTTGTTTTTCTGCGCTTTTGTGACTCTCCCAACAATCTAATTATTTTCATCTTTCTACACTTAATTTCAACTTTTTTCCCTAAATCTCAACTTTGTGCACTATTTGGGATTCATTGACGTGTTCTCAGCCAATGAGCGTTCTAAAAATGTTTGCATGCATATTATTAAAATGAAATAATTTAACCTTTACACCAACCCCTCGCTACGCTTTCCTACTTGCTCGGTCAGAATTTGATGTCAATTAATAGCGAACGGATTCAAGATTAACATGCACTTTTTGGAAAGCCTAGTTAAAGCAAAACTCAGCTAGCGTGATAACCAATCGCGTTGTAAGTCAGGCAGTTCAATGACTCTTCGTCGAGCATTGGAAAAGTTAATACATAAAAGATTTATGAAAATAAATGCAGGTAATGGTTTTCTTTTCAGCTGTAGCAGAATACTCCGATGCTTTGAAAGAATCAGTAAAAAGCCAAACCGAGTACCTCGCTCAGGCCTCACCGAATATGTCCAATGTGAGAACAGATGACATATTCACCAACATTCTCATGCAACATGGAAGAAAACCAGTCAAAGATCTTGATGTGAAAAGAAAAGAACACCTTCGCCAGTACGGTCAAATAAGTGGAAAGCAAATTAAAAGCTCTCAAGAAATTTTCATCCCAACCGATGGGAAACATCCAGAATCTGTTCTTGTCACTGGAAAGGCAGGCATCGGTAAAACGCTGTTTTGTCAAAAGTTGATCAAAGATTGGGCTGACAACAAATTGTTTCGATCCAGAGAAAATGCAGAATTACCTGATTTTAAGTTTACATACTTGCTCACGTTCCGTCAGCTGAATCTACTTGGGGACGACCCTGTTACCTTGAAGGATATCTTAAACCGATCTTCAGTGCTAGATGACCACTCAAATATCGACGACTCTATATTTGAGTACATTCTTCATCATTCCGAAGAAGTTTTGATTATCATCGACGGGTACGACGAGTGTTCACAACGACAGTACATCGCTAGTAATTCGGATGAAAAGTACCCAAATAACGCCAAAGAGAAAATGCCAGTAGCGGCACTGTGTGCCAAGCTTATCAAAGGAAAAATACTGAGAGGTTCGGTCGTCATGATCACTTCAAGACCCGACGAATCTGACGAAATGAAAGCCAAAGATATCTATTTTGACAGATACGTTGAAATTACAGGATTTTCCGAGCCACAGGTAAAAGAATACATTGGAAAGTATTTCAGAAACAACGACCAAATGAAAAACATTGTAATGGACCACATTACAAAGAATGTCAATCTTGTCAGCTTTGCCCACATTCCTGTGCTCTGTTTTCTCATGTGCTCCTACTTTGAATATACTCTACAGCAATCAAAGAAGAATAATCCTCTCCCGGTGAAAACAAGTGACCTTTATGATGAAGTGGTCAACATGTTTGTGCAAAAGCACGATAGAAAGAAAAGCGCCTCTGTCGAAGAGACTCTGGATGAATTATCAAAGCTGGCAGCTCAACTTCTTCTGGAGAGAAAGTTTCTTTTCCTTAAAGAGGATTTGAAAACTTTGAAGTTACACGAGGTTGAAAGTCTGTGTGGAAGCGGTCTTCTTCATTGCGGTCCTCCTTTCAGAACATCTTTTTCTGCGACGACTAAACATTTTTGTTTTACGCATTTGACTCTCCAAGAGTACTTAGCGGCTCGTTGGTTCGTAAAGACAAGAAAAATCCCACCTGGAGATGTGTCCACAGAAGTAGTTCTATTTATGTCCGGTATTTTGTCCAAGGAAGAAGACAACGAATTTGTGAAAAAGTTGATTATCGAGAAAATTCTCAGCGTCCCATTGACAAATACAACTACAAAGGGGCTATTAATTTCCAAATGTCTCCTACAATACGAAGACATCGAGTTCTCCAAGGAAATAGTAAAGGAATTTCGCAACGTATTCTGCCCACGTGTTGGACATTTTGGTCTTTCTGGCTTCGGGAGGGCCAATGTGGACTGCATTGCTGTGTCCTTTGCGTTAAATGTTTTTGGTGCACTTAATGCAGAGGACGAACCTGAATGGAGTAGAATCACCACTCTTAGCCTAAGTGATCAGAATGTCGCCAATTTTGCCAGTCTATGTCAAGAATTACAGACACCAACGTGTAAAGTCACAAACCTTCATCTGAATAATAATCATATCACCGATGCTGGTGTTGCCAGTCTATGTCAAGCATTACAGACACCAGCATGTAAAGTCACAAACCTTCATCTGAATAATAATCATATCACCGATGCTGGTGTTGCCAGTCTATGTCAAGCATTACAGACACCAGCATGTAAAGTCACCGAACTTGATCTGGGTTGCAATCAGGTCACCGATGCAGGTGTTGCCAGTATATGTCAAGCATTACAGACACCAACATGTAAAGTCACCAAACTTGATGTGGCTAGCAATCAGATCACAGATGCCGGTGTTGCCAGTCTATGTCAAGTATTACTGACACCAACATGTAAAGTCACAAACCTTCATCTGAATAATAATCATATCACCGATGCTAGTGTTGCCAGTCTATGTCAAACATTACAGACACCAGCATGTAAAGTCACCGAACTTGATCTGGGTTGCAATCAGGTCACCGATGCCGGTGTTGCCAGTATATGTCAAGCATTACAGACACCAACATGTAAAGTCACCAAACTTGATGTGGCTAGTAATCAGATCACCGATGCCGGTGTTGCCAGTCTATGTCAAGTATTACAGACACCAACATGTAAAGTCACCGCACTTAATCTGCGTGATAGTCAGGTCACCGATGCCGGTGTTGCCAGTATATGTCAAGCATTACAGACACCAACATGTAAAGTCACCAAACTTCTTGTGGGTGGTAATCAGATCACCGATGCCGGTGTTGCCAGTCTATGTCAAGCATTACAGACACCAACATGTAAAGTCAACGAACTTCTACTGGCTGGTAATCAGATCACCGATGCCGGTGTTGCCAGTCTATGTCAAGCATTACAGACACCAACATGTAAAGTCACCTTACTCTATCTGTATGGTAATCAGGTCACCAATGCCGCTTTTAACCGTCTAAAGTATATTTTGGAAGAAAAGGTTCGTAACATGAAAAGTCACCGAACTTGATCTGGGTTGCAATCAGGTCACCGATGCCGGTGTTGCCAGTATACGTCAAGCATTACAGACACCAACATGTAAAGTCACCAAACGTGATGTGGCTAGTAATCAGATCACCGATGCCGGTGTTGCCAGTCTATGTCAAGCATTACAGACACCAACATGTAAAGTCACCGCACTTAATCTGCGTAATAATCAGGTCACCGATGCCGGTGTTGCCAGTATATGTCAAGCATTACAGACACCAACATGTAAAGTCACCAAACTTCTTGTGGGTGGTAATCAGATCACCGATACTGGTGTTGCCAGTCTATGTCAAGCATTACAGACACCAACATGTAAAGTCACCGAACTTCTACTGGCTGGTAATCAGATCACTGATGCCGATATTGCCAGTCTATGTCAAGCACTACAGACACCAACATGTAAAGTCACCTTACTCTATCTGTATGGTAATCAGATCACCAATGCAGCTGTGAACCGTCTAAAGTATATTTTGGAAGAAGAGTCGTATCTACCTTTCTTATGATGAAGAAGCTATTGACTAATAATTCTATTTTTGCAAAAGATATACGAAAGTTCAAAGACATAGGGTTGACTTGACAATTTCAATAATGAACGCTTCAACGCTGTAAACACATTACCCTTTTGTTGTTCTTAAAATGCATTTATTGCATAAATTAAAGATTTTCATAAATAAATCGCAAGATTTCGAGTACAATTTGGGATAAATTAGCATGTGTGAACTATTCAAATGCTAAACAAATTGCACGAGCCCGTAAGGCGTATGAAATTTGTCGTTCTTGAAAAATATACGAGTGCTGATTTGACTAACATAACCCTAACCTTAACCCTAAGGAAATTGTACGAGAAAAAACGTGATTATCTGTTAATAATGTACATGCCAAACTCTGTTTTCCTCTTAGTCGTGTTTATTTCGTGTCATGTCTTAGTGGCTCGGCCGCTTGCCTTTGTGCTGTTGCCGGAGTAGTAAGGGTTTCACATCTCTCAGTCATAAGACAGCGCAAGAAAGCATTTTGTGCAATCGCGAATATTGCCTATCATAACCGGTTAAGGGCCAGAGAAATCGGAGGGGGGGGGGGAAGGGCTGTAGTGAGGGAAATAACCTTGATGATATCCATCTTTTTGTCTCCCCTCGAAAATTATTTGATCACGACTGTAATTTAACTCTTAATTTACAATTTTAAAAGAGTTCAAGTCTATTTGCATCACAGAGAGAGCGTAATGCGCCGAGTTAGGATTCGGTCTTCTTGAAGTTTTTGTTTTCGTGTTATTTTCACGACTGTTCTTAATATTTCCTACCTTATTTTAAGCTTGGTGACCTTAGAGTAAACTTTGACTTGGACTGCTTAGATTCGCTAAATTCGTTCGTTAATTGGAACAGATTCCTAAATCCTCCCTTAACCTTTTGTGCATCCCTGCGACTAAACAGTTCCCCACCCTACCCGGGTCTAGTCATCGTTTAACTGGAATCCATCGAGTCTTTTATTCCAATCGAGTAGAAGTTTTTGAACTTGACATCCAAATGCTTAGATTATAGCTATTCTTACTGAAGATTCAAACAGATACTTCGGGTACTTATCACAAAAAAGAAGTTCTTGATTTTGTTCACTGTTCTGGAGAACTGTGATGACCGGTCTATCGATAATCCTAGCTTTTGACATAACGGAAAAAAGGAACAAAACAATACAACTATAATAAAGTGAAAACCTTTATTCCACCACATGCCTAATTGACATCACCAAAAATGTTTCGTTTCGTAAGCGGGAATTTGATCTGAATCACAAACAAAGGAAAGTGTCTTTCCTGGAGCGCGACGTCCAATGCCCGAAAATACGCTAGCTGCGTTCAAATTACTCTGAATGTGTTCTTGTTATTTTAATAATATGCAAACGCGAGCTAACTTTATGAAATCCAGCCTATTACTTACAAAATGTTTACATCATCGTCAATTTTCTGAGGCGTTTTTAATTTGAGAATGTCAAATCAAAATTTGTTTTGGTTGTCTGTTTCCTTACTTGTTCTCTTTGTCACTTCATAAACTGTTGAAGAAACTTCCTGAGCAATGTTTGAATTTCCAACTTCCTTTCGCAAAATGCGGGGCAACGACCCAAGGTATTTAACCTTACGATTAACCTCGGTTCTCCTTTTTAATCGTTATGGCTGCTCCAAGGTAAACTTCGATGACCAGGACAACTTCGCCTCAACCAACACAGACATAAGGCCAGGTTGTTAAACTGACAATCATCTATCCCAAAATGACGCATACTATTTTTCACTTCAGCGAACCAATGAAGTTGTCTAAATTGTATTCTGTTTCATACTGTTCCTCGTCCCATAGTTCTCCCAAATTTTCAATCATAGTTTTGAGCGAAGTCTTCCCAGTCGCATTCGACTGTTGTGCGCTTGGTTTTTCTCTCTCCTTTTCTTGGTCGACTGAAAAGAGATCCAGGAGTTGTCCAGTATCCATGGTCAATAGGCTTGAGTTGTCTTGCGAGATCACTGTGTTGGCGATGTTCAGTTTAAACTTCTGGAGTCTAACAGAAAAAAAATGTCCGACTTGAAGACTCAATTTATAAAATATCTAATTGTGTAGTATGTTATCACTTGACAATTAGGTTTAGAAACGAGCGGACAATGAGAATGTCTTTCATAAGTTTGAGAACAAAGGAAGACGCCAAAGAGGTGTTGACTGTTCTATCCACCTTGGGGAAATTGGAAAGCTGACTACTAGTTGTTATTAAAAACTAGATCACTGGATAAAGCATTTCAAGAGTTTTCATTGGCTTAGCCATCATGAGTTATGAGTCATCACGCGCACGCATGAAGACGAGTTAAATCGGAAGTGTTTTTATACATTCTAACATTCCGTTTTTCTTACAAAATAAAGTTGGGAATATTTATTTATAGTTTAAGCCATTTTTGATAAAACGGTCAATCTACTCGCCCTTGTTGGATATGAGATGATTACCGCCGACGAGGCCCGTCATCTCATATCCAACGGGCGCTCGTGGAATAATTGTTTAGTAGACGATACTCCTTCATAAATAAACTTTTACCGCTGCGTCACTGGGCAAGTGAGACACTTACATAAAAAAAAAATGGAAAAATGTTTGAGAAGCTGACTTTTCAAGCGTCACCCGCTTTCGGAAAAAACTTAACGAGCGTTAATGTTAGTCCTATCTCAGGATATCTGTGCTGTATGATTCAAATAGTGCTGCTTTAAAACCTACCCCATAATCTTTTCCTCGAGTGTTCCCCGTGTAATCAATCTGTACACGTTTACAACCTTCTTCTGTCCAATACGATGAGCTCGGTCCATGGCCTAGAAAGATGATCGAAGCAATCAAGAAAAGGCAACTGATCGCATCTACCAAAAACAAAGCTTGAGCAAAGTTGGTGAAAATCGGAATATACAGGGGGGAGGGGACAGGTTCAAAAGGTTGGTGGTTACGTACTTGTAGGTCCTTCATTGGGTTCCAGTCGTGCTCCACAAAGATGACCGTATCGGCACCAGTCAAATTCAATCCCAGTCCTCCAACATGTGTCGTCAGCAATAGAATGTCGATTGAGGGATCGTTGTTAAATCTGAGGATAAAATAAGTCTCTAAGTAACAGAAAAGCTGTTAAACGTCGCGTTTATTATCCAAAAAAGCGTTGAAAGCAGAAAATCGTTACCAGTCGGCCCATTCAGGGTGCAGCACAGAAACCTTGCAATGATTTGTTCGTGGGGAAGCCATCTGAAGCATAGCAGTCTAGGTATGGCATACTTGTGAAAATGTCATGTACTTGTCATATAGTTGTGACGATTAATTACGTATGCTAATGTCGAGACGATATCTAGGGGGAGGCGTGCACCGAATACAGGACTTGTGTGTATAGGTTATATGTCGTAGGTTGTCTTGTAATATTGTTTGGATACCAGACAATCGTTTCCTCCCTTTGTTCTAAGAGATATTGGACCATGGCCAATAACCGGAACCGATCTCAAACCTCAAATGAAAGAATTCTCACCTTTGTACGAGCGAGTGACGCGAGCCCGCAGGCGTACTTCCATCTAGTCTGAGGTATGTCACTGTAGGCATATGTTTTCTGCGTGAATAAAGCAAACTGAATATAAGAAGCAGGCTAAGTTTCAAACCTTTACATCTTTCCGCTCCCAAAGGCTGAATATTAAAGAGAAGATTTACCAGCCACTCCGACAATTCACTTCGTATTAAATGAAGAAGGTTTGATAAAATGATACTTTGTCCTTGCAACACGTCGTACAAATATAAACTGTTTTAAACGTGTTCGATCACCACAGCGACAACATGAGACGTAGCGGCGAGGTACTACCCACGAACAAGTACACATAGAGTCTTGTTCTGGTTAATTGTCAAATGGACAAACCAAAGACGAATGCAGCAATATCAATCAGCATGGCGAAAAAAAAACAAGTTAAACAAAAAAAAAATGTTGCTCTTACTTAAGAAGATCATTTTCAACGATGTCCAACATGCTCTTTAACTGACAGAACAACAGCACCCGGTGTTGGGACACTACAGGGTCTGAAGACAGATCACTAGAGCCTGAGGATGAGGAGCTAACTCCTATCCCACAATCCATCAGCAGCTGCCTGTTGATCAATTTGTAGACAGAAAGAGGAATTAGAGTAACCTGAGGCGTACATCAAACAAAACTATTTTCACAATAAGCTAAAGGTCAAGCGCCTAAACGCCAACATATGTTATGACGAGGGAATATTCTTGATAGGAAAAGATGACTTCATTTTTCACCTCTAAGCAAAGTATGCTGCTATCAGGGTGACAGAATGCGCAGTAGTTTTTATGAACTGGTTACAAGGAAAGGATGAAAACAGAGAAGACCTTACATTAAGTGAGGGATTTTATGAATTTCATTCAAGTAAGAAACCGCCATTTTTAAGAAACTCAGAAATCAATGGTACTCTAGGCGTGCCAGTCTAAAAAGAGTAATTGCAAAAGTTCAAAGTCTATCCGTAAGCAATCCGTTAAAATATTATTGGTAACCGCACAATGCCTTGAAGTTACACTAACAAATAACCTGACTTACTTGAGAGCAACAAGTTTGGCGGCATGCTGAATGTCCCGGATGGAGACATGTTGTTGATGTAATTGGTCCATAACTTTGGTGTATTCTGGATGATTGGCAGTGAGCACCAAAAGCGGGTGGTTGCATAGCTTGCGCAGGTACTGAAGAGCCTGGGAATTATTTACATGTCAGATTGAATGAATATTCATACTGCAGAAGGTTATTTGTGGTAAGCACTGAGGACAGACTAGTGTCCATGATCAAATTCACAATTAAACGAGTAAAATAAACGTTGAATGGCAGTAAGAATGAAACCAATATTAACCTGGAAAACATGAGGATTATCTTTGCTTGCTTTCTCGTTTTTGTTTTCTTCATCGATGTGAGAAACTGTTTCCTCCAAACCTTTCTTGACCTGAGACTTGGCGAAGTCTTCATATAACTGAACCTGTAAAACGAAAAATTTTTTTTCTTGAGTGAGAGGAACGACCTGGAGGGCAATTTTCGGAAATTCTTCAAAAAAAAATACCACTAAATACATGTTGGAGATCCTTGAAATTTCGCACAGCTGCTTGAATATTCATATTCTGTCGACAACTATCAAGTATTGTCGAAAACTATTATACATCGCCCCAGTGCGCACTTTGATTGTTGGCAATAGCAACAGACTGACCTGTAGGGGGCTCAGTTCACAGTAGTAATCTTGAATGATCTTAGGTGGAAGATCTTGCAGTACATCTTCTTTCAGGCGCCTCAATAGGAATGGCAAAACCTGACGATGAAGGGCCTCCATGGCCAAGGCCCCTAAGAATGGGACACATGTGTCAATACAGACCACGGTATCACCTCATTTATGATCCACAACGCCATGAAATCTTACTGACAGGCGAACAGTCTACTCCTAAAGGACCTTCAATTTCCTTCAAAGCAATTACTTATTTAACAAATCGTTACCGAGGAGGGACAGTTAGGGCGTGGTCTTTGGAATAAAAAGGGTGAAGCCGGCGGAAAATCAAGGGTAAAACAATCCAACATTTTCTATGATAGCTGAAAAGCGAGAGCGTCTTGCAGGGGCCGGTTTCACTTTTTTTCTGGTGGGGCACAACATCTATTGTCCTTTTCGTTCAACAAACGTTAAGCCGAAATTCAGGCTGCTGAAGTGGCTAAGACATGTAACTAGCGGCTTCGTGGAACTCTTGAGTGGCGGAAAGAGGATTGGAGCTCTGACGTTCATTTAAATGTTTCTACTGCCTTATTTTTCATCACCGACCAAAAGCTACGCAGGCTTTGTGTTAGCTACTTAGTACTTAATTCACGGACACTCACCAGCTTCTTGTTCCTTAGAGGACGATTTTGCGTCCCTACTCTGTAGAATTGGTTTACCAAACCGAGACTGAAACTGCTTTTCACTTCCGAGAAAACCAGGCATTAAGAAATCAAACAATGACCACAGCTCCAGGACATTATTCTGAAAATAAAACATAAGCATGTCAACGTAAAGCACCGTATCAAATCTTTACAAGACCGAACGAAGTAAAGCAATACAAAAAACTACAAAATTACGCTACTATACGGAAAGATAACTCATAACAAAGGAGTATGGTGAGAATGAAGCAAAAATGAACGACACATCAGAACGAGCAATGTCTCAATTGTCTCAATTTTTAATGTTGTGACGTAGAATATTTCAGAAACACGAACAACGTTTTGCTGTTCGACAGAAGCTGCTGACATTTCCTAACAGTATACGAGGCAGAGGAAAATATTTATCCACTTCTTTGTTTGTAAACGAAGAGGACTTTAGGATCTACATGTGGAACAACTGTTGGAGCATTGACTAGTCATCTTCCCATATTTAAATCGCATAGCTTCATTTGCTTAATAAAAGCCCCTCAATTCGTACTTGGATTGGTGTTCCCGAGAGTATAAGTCGATGACTGGCTCGTAGCTGCTTAATGACTTTAGCAAGCTAGAAGGAAAGACAAAAAAAATCAAATTGAAAAACTGGAACTTAAGCCGCCCACCACGACCAATGTCGACATCAATGACGATGCATTACAAAGAGCTTGTTTACGATTCCGTCCTAACTGCTCAAAAGGGCTGATACTTGTAGGAACTTCTTACCATCCGCCTTTAATTTGAATACTGGACTACATCGCTACCGTTCCATTTCAGACGATTCGAAATCATTCTCAAGCAACAACTATCAATGAAACTTCAATGATAAAAAAGAAAACCTGTTTAAGTTCTGTCAGAGAGATAACATATAGAGAATGCCAAATAAACGATATCTTCGTCTCGACCAGTTTTTTTTTCCTGTCAGGTCTCCTCAACGTTTGCTCTCTAGAGGAAACACCAAGACGTAACCTACCTTTGTTTTTCCATTCTTTATAATGTGGCCCTCGTCAAGGACACAGTAGTTCCAGTGCACTGATCTGTTAGGACGAAACAAACGAGACATTCCGTTGAAATAACTGCTGTGCCTTAACAATGTGTATTTTCATTTACCATTCGGTAATCCTCCTTACCTAAAGAATTCACCGTCGTTTCTTACAATATCGTACGATGCTACGACTAAACTGTGTTTTTTGACCTTGTTACGAAGTCTACGAAGAGAAAAGAAGAAAAATTGTTTTCAGTGGTCGAATGTTGAGGCTCTATGGGTGTAGTTTGATCGGTAAGTTCCTGTTGAACCTGTCTCTCGCTTTCCGTGGCCGAGTAAAGGGGAACAAATTCTAATAGACTTTAAATAAGAATTAGACAATAATCATAGCCGCGGGTTGCTACAGGCATTATTTTTCTTAACAGTTCAAGAACTGGTCTAGTTATTCCTCAACGTAAAGAGTAACGAATATAACTATTCAATTTCCCCTCAAACTACTCGCTCAGAATTTTCAATTACACTTGTATTTGTGCACACACCGAAAAACTTGCTGTACTTCTTAGAAAGCAATGCACACCGTCAGCGAACACCAAACAGAGTCCCAGGACTAACCTCTGTCTCTCAGACGGCGGGCCTGTATAGTGCAATGGTTTAAGGAAATCTTTGTTAACAAACTTCTCCACCTCGTACACCCAATGTCCTGTTAGTGTTGGTGGGCAAATCACGAGAGAAGGCAAAGGTTTGCAATCACTATTACCCGTCTCCTATTCGGTGCAGAAAAAAGAGAGAAATGTCGAAACTGTGATTCACACGATTGAAAGTTCACTCGTTTGTCCCGCGATGTAGTTACTGATTTGAATTCGATCTAACACTGGACCTATTCGAAGGTAGCACACAGTCTGCCGAAGCTCACTATCACGTACAGATTTGTAGGGTGAGGGAACAGTTGGCATAAAGTGCAATTTAAACTGCAGCATTTAGAAAACGTAACTATTTGATTTCATTAACGCCGAGAAAAGTCTCCCAAAACTCAGTGTTGTCGGGTATCTTGTTGGGAATGCTCAGATGTTTTTTCAGTGTGAAGAATAATGGGCATTGCTAGTGTCATCTGTTTGAGTTTCTTCTACTTTGTTCATATTTAGGATGGTGTCAACTGGCTGGCCTTTCTCAACCGTTACAAGCTGCATGGTATTCTATGCGATGGTATCCTTCATTACTTTTCCTTTTAAAACTTCGGCCCAAATTATTCGCGTACGTCTTTACGCTAAATTTAGACGGAAACGTCATTTCTGCATTAGTTTTGGTGCACTACGATAACTTTCTCGAGCATAACAATTGTTGTCAGCTTTTTAAGGATACAAGATATAGCTTCTATAGCTCCTTGACGGTTCCTGATAACATCAGCAGTGCCCATCAAAGGTAAGATATCCTTTACCACTGTCTTCATGGTATCTTCAATGGACAGTGCACAGCACACCCAGGCACCTGGCTGCCAAGTGTCGCACTGCACTGTAAGGGTGCTGAAGGCACAGTACTATATTGGGGAGCAAATCTAAAATCTAAAACGCAAAAATAAAGATTAGGACTAGTTTAGTTCATGTTGATAAGAATATCAAAGCCATTGTAACCACTAGAAGGAAAGAGCACAACATATTGTGAAGACCTCAATCTCAAGAAGATCAATTATATGTTAGTTGTAGTACTTTACCATAGGCAAATTGTACCATTGCTGCACATTATGTATTGTCCCAGTCAAGAGCACTGTGCATATGTACTCATATGATGTATAAACCTAGGTCAACTATTCCTTACCCTGCCTGGATACCAGCTGAGGCATTAATTCCATTCTCTTGTTATGCATTTGACAGGCCCTGAGGAAAGTAAACACTAAATAAATACGTATATCATATTATACAAGTTTCTGATCATGTCCCCATCCAAATAAGTAAGCTATGATCCACACTCTAAAATTAAACTGAAATTTGTGCATTTCATACAGAACTATTTACCCTCTTTAGAATAATTATGTCCTTCTTCAAATTGCATCAAAGAGAATAACACCAGTCCCTGGACTTCTTTTGGTGGTGTACAGTATATCTTGCGAGAAGGTCTCTGTTTCTCACCTGACAATCTGTTTGCAGTCTTGTGTTAAGCACAGCTATCTTATTATCCACAATTCATTCAGATAGAATATTGTTTAACAGTGCAGTATTTTCCTCAGGACAATTGCATCCCTAATAATGCAGAACCACAAATTATTGGAATGCAGAAAATAAGAAATAAATCACACCCTTTGTACTACGAAGGTCATTTAGTATTGGATACTTGACATTTCTGTACGATTGCTTCCTTTCATAGCTTATTCAGAACACACACAATAATTCAGAGTCTACATGTATCTATTGATAGCTGAAGAAGGATTAAATTGAAAGGAAAATTTAATAGAGTCAACTATTACAAGCCCAATCCCCCTTTTTGGCCCAGTTTTTCCATTGAATAGTTATCCTCTAGTTGGTCTCCAAGGAACTTAATTTTAAATTCAGGATATGACAGAGGATGTTTATTACAAAGAGACCCTTGCAAGGTGGGCGAGGGAGGGGGAAACAGCTGCAGTGTAAATTTGCAAGGTTAGATGAGAGTAATTTAAGTTTACCAACAATAATATATGCCCAATGATGTGACTCTGAACTTGTCCATGGATGAGGGAGGAGAGGTGGATTTTATTTGATTGCATTTGGAACCTTCGTCTCGTCAAAGAGAATACTTTAAGAATCACTCTTTCCTAACTAAACGGAATAAAGTGTTCCATCATGCATAATTCACGCAAGAAACTAGTGGCACGCAGGAGCATGTTATGAAGTAGACTTTTATTGCCATTAAGTTTGATTTATACACCAAAATCAGATGAAATAAAGCTTTGCTACATCACACATTACAAAAGTGGAGCAGGTACATGAACGATTCCCTACACTTCGTATGAAAAATCAAAAAGCCAAATAGATAACTCTGGGTACGAAAGACTTATCTGGAGGTTTGAGCTGTTTCCAAACAGTCCTTAAATTTCTGTCCTGCGGGTCCTAGTCGGTGTGTAGCCCACCTAAGCACGATCGGTGTTTAGCGCTTGGTAACCACCCTATGTCTGAAATAGAGCTGCGTGGGCTCAATATTTTTAACTGCTTCCGAGAACAGTGCGCTAAATCGGTCAACACGGACTCGGCAGTCATTACCATGTTTCCATATCAAATAATGAGGGAGATTGTCACGATTCTGTGAACTCAAAAGGGTTGTTTATTGTGCGAACTCGACTGCCGCCACGTGTCTGTTCGTTGTCTCGTAAGTCTTCTAAATATAAAGATGTTCATCGGCCCAGTGGCGTGACCGTGTAACGCAATATCACGACATCTTCCCCTTTTTACAAAGTTTATCTTCAAAAGTTAATTAATACTTAATGTTCGGTTTCGATCACTCTTCAAATCACATAAAATCGATAAAACATTGTTCTTCATTGAAATCATAAAAAGATAGAAACAGAACCCAACAACTATTTAGCGGCTCAATCATTCAATGTTCAGTTCATATGGTAATCCTGATGCCACAAAGGCGGTCGACGTCTGCGTTCTGATCGACGAGTTTCCATCCTTTGTGGCTCAAGCTCAGTTCCCATCTCATTTTCAGGTGGCATTCTCTCTGTTTTGGTCTCGCCATGGAACTCCGGTGGAGGAGGTCCTGGCTCTGTCAGATTTGGCGCCGGTTTGAGGGTAGACTCGGGCGGAGTTAGTTCTACCAGACTCATAGGTGGTGCTGTTTCCGGGGTCAGGCGCAGTTGCCGACGGTTGCGTCGGTATCGCCTGCCGCAAACTTCAACTTCATAAGACCTGTTCCCCAAGGCTTTCATGCAGGTCCCCAGACTCCATTCCTCCCTTCCGGGAAGCCGCATCCTGATGGCCTGTCCACACTTTAGTGCCTCTAAAGGGCGAAACTTTTTGTTGTATTGTTGAGCTTGTCTTTTCTTGCGCTCAGCTAATTTGGTGGCTGTTTCCTGGTGTGATGGCTGCCGCAGGAGCGTTTCATGGGTTGGTAAGAAAGTGCGTGTGCGGCGTCCCATCAGTCTCTGTACGGGTGATGTTCCTAGACCCTCTGTTGGGGTGTTGCGCCAATCAAGAAGGGCTAACAGCGGGTCTTGCCCATCCGCTTTCGCTTTCGTCATCAAGTTCTTGCAGGTCTTCACGGCATTCTCGGCGCGGCCATTTGACTGGGGGTAACGGGGCTCGAAGTTCTATGTTCAAACTGCCATTCTCTCACGAATGCACTGAACACCGATGACGTAAACTGAGGTCCGTTGTCGGTAATAAGCACGTCTGGTATCCCATGGCGGGCGAATTGTGCTTTACACGCAGCTATCACGCTAGCAGATGTGGCCACCTTAACCTCCTGGACTTCAAAGAACCCACTCCAGTAGTCGACTAGGACAAAGAAATGTTGTTGCCCAAGGTCAAAAAAATCGGCACCTAGCATCGACCAGGGACGCGACGGGATCGGATACGGTTGCAATTCCTCGCGGCACTGATCTGGCTGGTACGACTGGCAGATTGAGCATTTGGAAACAAAGTCCTTTACTTCCGAATTCATGAGGGGCCAATAGAGGACCTCCCTAGCGCGACGTAAACACCCTTCGATTCCAATATGTGATCAGTGAATTTGCTTCAACATTTCTTTTCTCAGGGAAGGGGTACCAGCAATCGCTCCCCAGGAATACTAGTCCCTTGTCTTCTATAAGCTCACTTCGTTTGTCATAGTAAGGCGTCAGCTCAGGGGTACAGGACTTCCTTGACACTGGCCATTCACCCTTGATTGCTCCGATTAGCTTTTGCATCACTGGGTCCCTGGCAATCTCGTTTCTGAATTCAGCGAGCCTGTATGGTGCAATCGAGAGGTTTTCTGAATGATCTATCTCGGCAAGTGTACAGATCAGACTTGTATCGTGCTTGGAGGCTTCGGTGGTGTTGCGGTATGCTCGACTCAGTGCATCTGATACCCACATAAGTTCCCCTTTTT